TGTTAAAAAAAAAATCATCCATTCTCACCTCAGGATTTCTAATGTTAGAGGGTGGATATATGTCACTAACAAATTATGTGCCCTTATCCCGATCGAGTCACTACTTGAGTTACTTACGAGTTCTTTAGTTTTATGGTTATCCCAAGATTCTTATTATAAGTTAGGACATAAGAGTTGTGAAATACACCAGATAAAGTGGCGATGTGATATTTAACGTCCTCTGTTAATCCTGCTTCATTTATCGGAGCAAGCAGTCTCTTTTTACTGATGATAGTCCTCTTGTGCTATTAGCTAACTTCTAACATGTGTAAACATGCAGTTTACCAACTGTTATAGATGGCAATATTTTCCGTTGGATCACGGAGATATACCAGAAAGAATCTTCCACAACAGAGAAGCTCGTGATCTTTAGTAAATTTGATGTGGAAGAACTGGAATCCTTGATAACAGCGGGAACGTTCGTAGATGCTTACTTCTCAGTGGATTCATATGACGTCCAACAGAATGCTGGCATCCGCTTAGTAGCAAACAAGTTGATTATCCATTCCACCTGATAAATCAGATCCCAGATTTGACTTGTATATCTTAAACTTAGGTTGAACTTGGACAGTTTATGAGATTTCACAAGAAAGTCGCTGTGAAATCTGTCAAGAGTGAGATTTAATTTGCTGTCTCTTGCTGGATGAATTGAAAAATGAAAGGTTTGTCATACTTTGACTTCGTAAATGATTTTTAGATCAATTGCTTCCAAATATAGAAGCAACCAATGTTTACTCCTTAACTCGCTTTTTAGGTCCTAACTGAGTAACTTTTGTGCCTTTCTACGTCGACAAGGTAGGAGTAAAGTTTGCGTATACTCTGATTTCACCAGGTATATAGTTGTTGTTGAGCAACTTGTCTCTTAACGCCACTTGCATCAGTTGCGTGAGAGAAGTGGATGATGTCTTAATTATAACACTACTAGTACACCATAAATTAACTTTTGTCACCTTGGTGTCTAATAAAATATAATACAAACATCTTTTCCTAATTTGGATTAGCTTTTTCTTGTTTTGTTAATTCTACTTTTAATTTTTCATTTAATGGAATTATGTCATGTATAAGTGTGAGACATAATATGTGGTGATCTGATTGTTTTGTAACTTTTGTCTCTCAAACGGCCACGTGACCGCACGCCACCATGTGGTCCTCTGATGTATGATTGTTTATGTACATTTTTGTTCTCTAGCTCACATAAAACTTTAAATTGCTTTTATTTAGCTTTTTTCAAGAACGAAAGGCAAAGGCATATTGGCACAAATAATTGTTATGAAAATGAAGGATGAGAAAAGGACATGTTAACTGGTAAGCTCTCTTGGAAAATAAATACCTACTTATTAAGAAAAAACGTATTAGCTTTGTTAAATGACAAAAGTGCAAGTAGAACTTGATAATTATGTATGCAGAAAACTTCATTATTTTGTCTAGAAAATTACTCTCTCCGATTAATTTTACTTGTATTAAAAACATATTTTCATTTTTTCTTATCCATTTTAGTGTATCAAGAGAAAAATAATAATTATTATTTTGCTTTACCATTAACACTAATTATATCACTCATTTCAAATTATTTGTCAAGTCCATTAAGACTATGACACCAGTGAATATGGATATCATAATGAAACATGCATTTCATTTATTATTTTTTAAAATAAATGCAAAATTCATTATGAATAAGTGAAAATGAAAGAAGGAAGTATATGTTTATCTTCATTTAATTTGAGGTATGCAAGCGAGAGCAAAATTTACATTGAGGAATATGATAATCGGGTTAATTTTTTGTGTACTAAAGATTGCTATATATTCTAAGAAAAAGCAAACTTTTTTTATTTCCGTATTTCAAATAATAACATATTCAATATAATCTTTTAAGTTAGATCAAGGCCTATATAATAGAATACAAATAGACCTTATCCTTAACTTTTGTGGTGTAGAGAGGTTTTTTTTATAAAACCCTCAACTCGACAAATAAAAAAGGAAATCAAAGTATGATATAATAAAATAGCGAGATACATAGCAAGTAAAAAAAATATGTAGTAATACACATATCGATGAAAAAGAACAACATGATTACTAAATAATAATGCTAATAAGGGAAAGCATCAAGCACCACCATGTCAAAGCAGAAGTTGCGGATTTGAGTCTTATTAGTTTCGACGAATTCAATAAATATATTAATTCGCCTCTCTATTTTTTTATGAAAAAGAGAAGTTTTCAAAGGTTTGTAAAAACAGATTCTCGTCTCTCAGTTTTTCATCCTAAGCCAAATGATTCAGTGGTCTTCCTCTCTCCCTATACTTCAAACCAAAACTCTTCTTCAAACTTAGAGTTCAAGGAGATTATCTCTTACCGTTTAGCTTTCATCTAGAGAATTATATCCTCAATACATTAAAATTATATCATATTATAGCTAATTACCTCCGCATAATGAAAAAAACATCTTATTGAAGAATATATTTTGTTTGGTTTCATAGGGGTCAAGAATCAAGATAGAACACATGAATTTATGTGGTTGTAAGATAGTAGAATATTATAATACGTGGAAAGTAGGAAGAAAAAAGTGAAAAGGGAAAAAGATCAAAAAGGGTAAAAGAAAAGTGTGAGGTATATTTAGGGAGGATATGTTGTTAGAGATAGAGGAGATGCCATGTGTAAAAAGAGTGCTTGGATTGTGAATTTGTGAAGGAGGGAGTAAAGGATCACATGGTGCTGCAATATGTAAAACGTTTCTTATTGGCTATTGAGTTGGATTCGGCTTCCAAAATTTAATTCAAAGCCACAATTTTCCCCACCACTTATATTAGTAATATATATATATATTCTTTACGTGTGAAGCCAACTTACATTCAATTCAATCCACAATTTCCATCAATGGTCAATAGTCAATATGTTAGGGTTCTGCCTGATTTTCTTATCATAATTTAAGATTTATTTTTCCTTAAAGGAAAGATAAAACATTACCATAAATGTTTTTTCAAGGAAAAATATAATATTCTTTCATGCTCATTAACATATGCACTTAATATTTTATTTTAATAATAAAATACATATACACCAACATAAAGTTTATTCATTTATTTGGTTTATTCTTTCCTCTTAGGAAAAGGTTTTGGAGTAGCTAGTTCTTTTCTAGTAGGAAAGGTTTTAGGACTCTATAAATATAGGTTTGTTTCTTCTAACACAAAATCAATTACATCCACAATGTAGTCGTTTAAGAGTCGTGTTTATGAGGAGATTTATTCTCTCTAAAGTTTCAATGTTTTTTCTTTATATTAGTTTTGATATAATAATGTTTTGATTTTTAGTATAAGTTTTTGTTATCTGATTTGCAATTGTAAGCTTCCGCATAACGCCTTAATCTCCTTCATAACCCAACACAATACACACTTTGTTTCTCAATTTATGATTTCATTCAGCTATTATTGGCAATCGGACAATATGCATTAACGTAATGACGATCGAAAGTTTTACGAAAAATACTTTATCGCGAACACAATTCAACAATCTATAACAAGTTGCTTATCATAGACAAGCTAACACTATGGCGACTTGTTGATAAAGCAACATGTCCTTTAATTTGTGTCAAACTGTAGATGAAACAAACATCACATTATTGTTTGAATGTACCATCTTATTAGAGGTATGAAGGAGATTTATTAAGATGGTAGGGCTTATTAAGGCCTCCATTGGATTGTAACTGGGTTATAATCAGTGGCGAAGCCAAAAATTTAATGAAGGGTGTCGAGAAATTACATAACAAAAGGTCCTTTTTTTAAAATTTTTTTTATTGCTAGTGAGATTCAAACATGTGACCACTAATTCATTCAAGGTGTTTGAAACCCATTAAAAAGGTCTAAAATCACTAGGCTACAACAACCTATTATATCAAGGGTGTCCAAAATATGTTATTTAATCACTTTTGTGTATCAATTTACGTATATATACAATATTTTTTTCCGACGAAGGGTGTCCAATTGACGAGTTGCATGTGCCTACGCCCCTGGTTATAACAAATTGCAATGGAAGAAGAAACACTATTGAAATTTACAGAATGACATTAGCTGGAGCACTATATCATGTGTGGTAGGAATAAAATTCTAGGATTTTCTAGTAGAAAAAAAGAAGTAAAGATATCATTGTCTAGTCTTAACTTGAGCCAATGACAAAAATCACTAATTTTAATAAGATAATATATTTTCAAAAGATTTTTATATATATTCTATCTGTGATATGTTTATACATGACTGAATCATCCTAACATAACAAATGAAGAATAAAGATAACAATCCCATGGTGCATAATCCCTCATGTAATTAAATTCTTTCTTCTTATTGCTAAGACATATGGAAGAATTAGCTAGTATTTTTATCTTCACTTGAGACGTTAAATTCTCAATCTCAATCACTTCATTGATTACTGTAATCGTACAATTCTTTATACTAAAAAGGAAAAAGAGAAGTGAATGGATAAGATCAGAAAAAGAATAACATGGTTGAAGATTTAAGGCAAGTTGGTTTCACACGTGAGGAATATATACGTGTGTGGAAAATTGGGCCTTCCAATTTATTTCTTGGGACCCGAATCCGAATCCAAATTCAAATCCAAATCCAATAACCAATAAGAAACCTTATACATATTTTTTTCCCCTTTTCAACAAATTCACAATCCAAACACGCCTTTACCAGATCTCCACGTGACGTGGCATCTCCTCTATCTCTAACAAAATATCCTCCCACACCCCCTAAATATCCTCCCACTCACTTTTTGCCCTTTTTGCTCTTTTTCTTTTCACTTTTCTTTTCCACGTAATTACATTCCACTATCTTACGCCGCGTGCCACCTACGCCTACTTCATCCAATCATCACCCTTCATTCTTTCCTTATTCTACGGCTCAGATATTTTCACCCCTAAAACACAGCGCACTTTAGCTCTCACCATCTACCTCAAGAGTGCTATATTAAAAATATTTCATTTTTCGTCGGCCTGAGTAAAAGCTGAAACTTTTCGACGACCACTCACAACCTTACGAACCAGAAGAGACTCTTCCTCTTCTTTTTTTTTTTTTTGCTAACTTGACTTTTACTCTAGGTTAGGTAGAATCGATTTAGGAAGTGTTGTACAGATTTACCGGAAGTAGTTTCTTGCTAACCTGCGCCGGCGGATCGGTCAGACGAACGGTGATGTTGGTTTGTGAATTTATGTTTTTTTCCGGTTGTTGATTCCGTCCGACGTGCCGGAGAGTTTGCTGCTTGTTTGTTTAGTACAGGGCAGAAAACGGGATGTATGTCCTTGCGTTGGATAAGATTGACTAGGTGATCCGCTAATGAAACCGGATGAATTAGAAACCCTAAGTTCTAATTTTACTAGTTGTGAAGAGAGGGGAGTGCGTTTAATGGAGGTTGTGTAGTAGTGATATTGGGGGAGTGTGGGGGTTTGGAGCTGGAATTTTGAAGTTTGTTGATTTGAGTATTTTCCTGGTGATGATGGAGAAGAATAAGATTATTAAGAGTGGGGATGGGTTCATTGATAGGAGTAAAGTGCGGATTTTACTGTGTGATAAAGATCTCAGTAGCTCGCAGGAAGTTTTAACACTCTTGTGCAAATGTTCTTATCAAGGTAATATTCTAGTCAGCTCGTGTTTAGTGAAGTTCTTGGAGCTCCTAGTTTATGTTTTTTTCTTTTATTCCATTATTGTTAGTAATATGTATGTGTTGTATGCGATTTGATATGGGATGATTTATATTTTTCTCCTAAAGCAGGTAGTAGATTAATGTGAACTAAGGTCTTATAAGTACTCTTGTTCTGACTTCTGAGTGGGATGTTTTTGTTATTTTTAATTTGACTCCCGTGTTTTTACAGATGACAGATCACTTGCTTTATCAAATATGAGCTCTGATTTTTCCCAACTTAACCATGTTACTTCTCCTTGATCATTTTGAAGATTAATGTTCATTCAGTTTATCTCTCAGCTCACTTCTAATTAAATTGTTGATGTTTTGTAATAATAGTGATAGAGGCTTTCTTTCCCTCATCTAATTATTGAAGGTCTGGGGGAGGAGTGGGGCAGAATTCAGTTTTGCAACTTTGCCAAAAGGTTCAAGTTCATCAATCCCCAGTTCTCCCCCCTTCCCAAATTGAAAATTGCAACAAAATGAGAAGAAAATGGTGATGGAGTGTAGAACTGGATCTTTAAAAAGGAAATAGTTTGCACATATTAGCTTAGTTGGTATTAATTAATTTCCATCTCAGAATAGATAGATGAATAATGAAAACAAACTAAAGGACAGAGAACACCTGGGGGCTAGCAGTGACTGGGGTAAGATGCTTGTATTACTGTTAGTAAGTTACTCTTTTTTTGCTCCTAGGTCAGTCTGCAGTTGGCTACTTGGCTTATAATACACATGATATTTTTAAGGCAGCACTGCATGTTCTTGTGTTGATGGTGGTAATTGTTTCTTTGCAGTGACTTTAGTGAGGTCACCCAGACAGGTGATTGATGCACTGAATGCTGAAGGACCTGACATAGATATCATTCTTTCTGAAGTTGACCTTCCTATTACCAAAGGATACAAGATGTTGAAATACATTATGAAGGATAAAGAACTGCGACGCATTCCTGTGATCAGTAAGCATAACTTTGTATAAATTATAACTTGATTTTGACTGTACTGAAAGAGCAGTAAAATATTTCATTGTTTTTTTCGCTTTCCTAGTGATGTCGTCACAAGATGAAGTTTCTATTGTCGTCAAGTGCCTCAAATTTGGAGCAGCTGACTACCTTGTGAAGCCTCTCCGCACTAATGAGCTGTTGAACTTGTGGACTCACATGTGGAGAAGAAGGCAAATGGCATGTATTTTATTTGATCGCTTAACAATTCTTCTTAGCAATTGCATTTCTCTTACTTGAAAGACTTCGGTTGATTTAGTGTAAAGGTAAATAGAAGGGTCTAGGCGCATGTTCTTAATAAAGAAGCAAAAAATGTTTGAACCCTTTTTATTTTTGACATCATTTTCCTTAGTTGCATGCAGGGAACTTCTCTACCCTATAATTTTGGATTCTTATATGGTCTATGACAAACATCCATTTAATGTTCCTTGCTTTTCTTTTGTTCCATGTACAGCTTGGACTAGCAGAGAAGAACATCCTGAGTTACGACTTTGATTTGATTTTATCAGACCCCAGTGATCATAATACAAATAGCACTACTCTTTTCTCTGATGATACTGATGATAAGTCCCGGAAGAGTGTCAATCTGGAATTATGTTCGTCTATTCAGTTCGAAGATGAGGTAATTTTGCATGGCAGTCCAAATTTTCATAACATCACTATTAAAATTCATCATTGTGCTTTCATATTTTCTCTGTATTCAAGGTGACTGTTTTGTGTGCATCAGTGACTTGTTCTTTTGTAAGTCTGTAATTTTGAGATAAGCCTTGAAAGTGTGGAGGCTTCAGAATTGAAAGTTGACATAACCAAGTGGTATATGAAACTTTACGGGTGACTTCTTGGTTGTGGGGTGGAGTTAAAAAAAATTTACAAAACTTAATGCCATCACTCTGCTGCCGTTGACACACTCTGTTTCCTCCTCCAGGGAAACTGGAAGGTGAACTGTCATCAGACCTTTGACTAATCGTGTTGATGTGGGTGTTACTTTTAGGTTTACATACTTATGGTTTCTTTAGCAAGATAGGTTTTTATTTGAATATGGTTTAGTGTGGTCACGGACCAAATTCAAATCTCTTGGAATAATTCATGGTAGCTAGCAGCATCAATATCCCAATACCTGGATGATGAACGTAAATTCCTGGAAGCACCAGAAGCTCCTTTTGTTTTGAAAATTACTTGCAAATTATGTTTTCTAGCTGCAGCACAAATTCACTCAGCAACCACTGAGTCATTTTCTGGGATCTGTCTACCTCATTTGTCAATGTGCTGTTTATTAAATTTTTAGATAGAGTTAAAACTTGTTTTCCTCCTTTCTTAATGATAATGAGCTGATTTAAGCTATTGTTTATATGTCGTCATTAACAGATATAGGCATACCCCTTTACTAAAATATTCTTTTCTTGTTTCCCTGCTGTAACTGCCAAATTGTTGAGCTTGTCTTACAATAATTTCAGACCACTGTAAAGGGTGGTAATATGCTAAAGCAATTTAATTCCTGCTAGCAGATCTTAAACAGCTAAGCACACTATATAACAATTGTAATGCACGTTAGTTTTGCATCAATTCCAAGTGACAAACAACAGACTGAGAAGGGGCTTCTTGCATCCTTACACACAACCTTCAGATTTTTTAAAGAGACTTAATCATTACTCCTATCAGACAATTATTTGTCAAAAATTATTATCTGATACAAAGATTAAAAGAATGATATTCACATTGCAAATCTTTAGGAGCACGATTTTCTGACATTCTATGGTGATATAATAACCTTTGTTCATGCCTTTCTATGAACCTGTTACTGTTTTCTAACATTCAGCAATAGTTTCCTTCCTGATTAGAGAGGAATAAACTGACATATGATGGTTTTGCATTTCCCGTCTCATGGTTACTATATTTTCAGATCAATGCTGCCACCACTACTGCTGCTGTAGAGACTGTGGTTGTGGTTCCATTTGAGTGTCAGTATAATGTGCCAGGAACTAATAATCGACAGACAGGTCAGTGATTCATATGGCTTTAAGTCATTCAGTCTCCTTGATTGTTGTAATGCGATTTACTTGCCATTATTTTCAACCTGAGGAACATAATGATTCACTGATCTCTCTAGAAAGTGAATACTACCTTTCATTAGTTTTTTTTTTCTGTTGTCAAGTTTGTTTAGTACTATTTGTTAAAGGAGGCAACATTGGGTTGACAGAGTAGGTTACCTATTACATATTTCACACCCATATACAGCACTTAGCCTCCTGCCCATACACACACGACATTCTTCCCCAACCCAAAGAAGGAAGAGAGAAGTGTAGCTTGTTACTTGGGTTGCATTTTCACTTTCCTCCATGCTCTAGGGGTACTTAAAAGTGTAGGCATTCGAGTATATTTCTGTTGCTTAAGCCTAAAATCATTCTGTTTTTCCAGTTTTCCTTCATGCTTGAAAGGTATCTTCTAGGTATTTGTGTATATTGCTGTTACTTTAGCCTGAAATCATTAGCCAGTGATAGGTTGCTCGAACTTCTCAAAATATCGATCGGTGTGTGTCGAATCTCCAAAAGTGGTGCATTTTTTGAGGATCCGATACATGTACAACAATGTTCTTGGAGAGCCTGAGCAACATATTTAGTCTTTTTAACACTCAAATTTTGGAGCATAAACTATTTAGTGGAAATGTGAGGCATGTCTAAGGTAGTGTTAGTGTAAGCAAGTTATAGAAGCAGGCCTTACATCTGTTTGTAGATTTGGCATATGCTGAGGAAAAGTTTGAGTAGGTCCTGTATTCCTTTGCCTAAAGTCGAGTTTGATGTATTTTATCATTGGAATGGTTTAGGGGGCTAGCCTCCTCTTCTTATTTAGTAGTCACGTGTCTTTATTCTTTTGCATATATTACTATCTGCTGTTGCATTTTCTTTGTGCATTGCTATTTTACTTGTCATATTTTTCTTGCAATTCTGCCTCTCTACCCCACAAAGGTAGGGGCAAGGTCCACCAACATCCTACCTTCCCCAAACCCCACTTGTGGGATTACACTTACATTGGGTATGTTGTTGTTGGAATGGTTTAGGGCAATCATTGAGTACTTGTTAACGGATGTACAAATGCCTTTCAACTTTTGTGTTCAAATAGCCCTTTTAAATGAGTTGCTTAATAAGCAACTTCAATGGTAATCTCTGTGCTCTAGTATATGTAACAGACCCGGAAATTGATTACTACGGGTAATATGCTTTGCCTGGTATGCTTCTGAGAATTATAACAATATGAGATTAACCTCTCCTATTTCTACAGATGGGTTTAAGTTTAATGTTATGCTTATTGAACAGGACGAATTTCTTCATTTCCTAAGAAGAGTGAACTGAAGATAGGTGAGTCCTCAGCATTCTTTACCTATGTCAAATCAGGCATGCCTAAAAGCAATGACCAAGGAATGATCTCTACCCATGAAAATGTGGCTCACCAATCAAGGATGGAAGAGAAGACCAATGCAGCTGTAGGGCATTTAGAGATTGAAACTCAAATGCAAGTTAATGGAGATGCAGTTGAAAATCATTCACATGTTGATGACTATCCAAGTAGTAACAGTTTACCAGATTCGTATTCCATGGAAAGGTCCTCTACTCCCCCTTTATCACTAGAATTACCGCAACAGAGGAACTCAAAGATGGAGGAGTTCTCGCAGGTGTACATGCATCTGCGCAATGAAGCCCAGCGTGATGCTGTGAATTTTCACATTCCAAATGCTTATTCCTATTTTATGCCTGGAGCAATGAATCAAGTCATGATGCCACCATCAGCACAAATGTATCAGAAGAACCTGCAAGATCTCCACAACCATGCTAATTCAGCTGCGTCACCTCAATACAATCATATGCCACCATGTCCCCCTCATATGCATGGAATGTCATCATTTCCTTACTACCCTATGGGCCTATGCTTACGACCTGGCGAAATGCCAACACCACATCAATGGCCCACAATTGGAAATTCGCCTTCAGCTGAAGGTAAGTGGAGCAAAGTTGATCGTAGAAAGGCCGCACTGTTGAAGTTTAGACAGAAGAGAAAGGAAAGATGTTTTGACAAGAAGATCAGGTATGTTAACCGAAAAAAGCTGGCAGAACGGAGACCTCGTGTGAGAGGACAGTTTGTAAGGAAGGTCAATGGTGTGAATGTGGATCTTAATGGACATCCTGCGTCAGCTGATTATGATGTTGATGAAGAGGAGGATGAGGAGGAACAAACTGGAAACTTTGATTCACCTGAGGACGATCCATCGATGTGTTTATGATGATTGCAATCTTTTGGTAGTTTTCCATGTCAATGAATGGTTTGTGTTCTCAGAATACCTGTGCAAAGAGCTGTTATACCTCGAGGATGAATGCAGAAAGAAAGATGCTTCAGTTTGATCAACATGCCCACAAATGGAACAGGCTTGCTTTTCAACTTACCTTCAGAGACTTTGTCTACATGCATGATCAGTTGTGCAATGAAAAATTAAGAAATCCTCCTGATCCCACTGCTTTTCAGCATCATATCACTATATGTTAACAAGGAAATGTATAAAGCTAAAATCAAGATTCTAAGAGAAACAATCTGGACAGGAGAACTTAATTGTGTTATAGCGGCTCTGGCTTTTCCTGTCTAATGTCACTGGAATTTAGGAACTATCTTGGAGTGAGGTGGCCAGCCTGTGATTTCACAGTCGAGCAAGGTAATGAGATCACAGTGACATTTTTTCTGAAAACTGTTTTCAATTTTACAATAGAAAAAGAGAAGAAAGATGGAATCTGTATGTAACAGATAGATTGCGTGGTCAACTCTGAGATATTGCCAAAGCTTAGTATATCATTGTTTGCTGCTTCTATCCATAACGGTGGCATACGGGTAGCATTAGGTGATACCTGAAAGTTATGCATGTTTTACTTTTTTAAAGAGTAGTTGGAGCCTCTTGCCTTCACAATATTGTGAGTTATGGGAGCTCTCTGTGGTTAATTTTTTAGTCGGACATAAGCAAGCTTAACCTGGAGAGCTTTCCGTTGGCAAAATAGTCACAAGGTGTGGTATTTGCAGACCGTTACTGACCCATGTTTAACCGAGACTAGATGAGTTTCACAGGTGAAAAATGACCACTTTTGCAAAAATGCATGATCTCAGAAAATACTTGCCACGTGCAAGATTTGAGATTTTCCTTGACCCTATATTATTTTGCAAAAAATAAAACCTATGTATATAAACACATTTTACACCCAAGTGTTTTCTGAACATATGTACAAAAGGAACATATTTTACATTAAGCAATAACAGACGGATCCTCCTCATAAGAGGTTCTAAATCTCATTCAATAGCGTAGGTTTCCAAGGGGGATAAAGAAGTACTGTACACAAGGGCAATCAACTCTTACACTTGGATCTTAAAAGGTTTTATCTTTTTTTAAGATAATAATTCGTTTCTAGATGACCTTGGTTGTTATCTGATCCAATCCTTTGGAAAGATGAACCATAATAAGTCCAAAGAAGAACAGGGGTGTATGAGTGGGCTAAAGCAAAGAGCGATAGTGATGAAAAGAAGGGAAAGAGACTAAATTGGTGCATAACATTAAATACATTTTACTCATTTCAGACAAGGATCACCAAATTCAAACATAGTAACCGACAAACATGGGAATTAATATTATGAAAATTGCCAGTATAAGAAGCACACTACCAAACCACACCACACAAACCGCAAATGAGGCAACTAACTGTGAAATCAGAAGCAGTGTGTCCAAAGATAAATGTTTTGCTGTAACAAATGAGAAGCGGCAGAAATCCTGAAAACCATTCGTTGAGCTAATGGGCGAGCTTGAAGTAAAGAACTAATAGGATAGCCAGGACCAAGACAACAATGATAGTGCCAATGATCCATTTATTCCTGCTCATCCTTCTTGACATTGTAGTCAGAATCTTCTTGCTCCTGCTAATATTATCATCCACTCCATGGAGCTGTGAAGGAAGAAACTCACTGATCATTGCATTTACATAATTACGCATGTTAATCTCAAGCTTATTCCACAGAAACCTTTCTTTAAAGCAAATTTAATTAGATTTATCAAACCACATGATCTTTTAATATTCACAATAATGGCATATCAGAATCTCTGTTTGTCCACCTCTTAGTTTCACAATTTGTTTAGGCTGTTCAGATATGATGGACAAATATGAATAGATTGTGTACCGTGTCATGTGCATGCAGAAGAGACTGACGTTGTTGATGCAAATCTTGAAGAATTGAGACCCCCAGATCTTCGGTTTCTAGCATTGTCTTTCGACTATCCCTGATCCTGTCGCTTGAACGGTTCAATCTATCTGTTGACATCATCAACCTTTGCCTTTGATCAGCAGACACCTGTATGGCATTAGATCAAAATTTTGATCAAGCAAGAGCATAATTTCCAATGAAGCGTCAATCAAAAAAGTGAAGAAGTTTTCACTCTCACATAAGATATCCTGACAGTACATTGATAAAAGATATGATTGCTCGAAAAGAAGACTCAAGCAACGAGCTTGCCATAGAGGACTTATAACTTCATGTTTCTCCTTCCAATTTATATGAATACTCTTTCCTTCATGCAACATTCCAGACGTATTTGACACCATTCCACAAGTAATCATACTCTATACCACTTTCACAACTTTCAGGATTATAAACTCATTTAAATGTTTAGATTTTAACTCGAAGAGAAGTTTCTCTATCAGATTTAATTTTCAACTATTAGTTTAACGTTCTTTTCCAATATCACAAATATAGTAAAAATCAAATTAACATCTTAAACCTTGTGCCCAATCGAATACCTCTATCATAAAATGGAATGGACGGAGTAATACAAGTTCCAAACTGCTTAGAAGCTTACACTACTTGCTGTTCTCCCTCTTGACATAAACTACACCACACTGGTTAAACTTCCCTTGTAAAGGAAAACCATTCAAACAACACAAAAGAGGGGGCAAAAATAGAACCTAAAATTGATGTAGACCACAAATAGAAAGTTGAAAATGTAAACCAGTAAAGTAATACAATGTGAGAAAAGCATTATTGGTTCAGATGTCTGGAAAACTATGATAGTCAGTCTGTGCAGTACAATTATCTGCATGCCATTAGGATTGAAGTAGCAATTGGAAACTAGCCACCTATGTTTAACAAGAAGGGAATGAGAATCTACTTATGCAAAGCTATAAGGGATTAAGATCAGCTTGTAGTTCTTTCACGAACTGACTAGCTTGATTCTTGAAAACACGATAGGGAAAGGGGATTACCATGTTAGCATCTGCCATTCCCGATTCCAACAATTCATCCCTTGCAGCTTGGTTTGCATTTCCTGATGTGATTCTTTTCACTTCAGTTTTTAAGTTGTTCAGATCACTCTTATATTCTCTCAACTTGGCAAGAAGTGTGGCTTTAACATTTGGAGGTAAACTCCGAGCTTCTAGGTCCATTTTGCGAATCTGGAAATGAGGACAAAAGAGCATTATAAACCAAAATATTTCAGAAACAAACAAAAACAGGTTGCAGCCAAAGCTTTACGAATTACCAACGCTTCAGCATCATCTAGACCAGCTTTTATTTCAGACACTTTCTGTTTCTTCTGTTCTGCAAGTTGAACAAAAGACACAGAAACAGTTTTAAAAAGCAACTGAGCTAATGGTCAAAGAGTAAAGCTGTAACAGAGGTCCAAAATAGAATGAAATACAGAAATCTCAGGTTAATGAGCCCTGTGATTGAGAAGTAACAGAAGCAACAAAAAGGCAATAACTCACCAAATGGTAAAAAATGCAGAAGAACACAAAAACAAGTAGTAACAGTGGAGGTTTCAAATGTAACTTAGCAGCATTTTCTGGGGTAGATTTCAGGACAATTATGTCAAGAGAATGTTATATCCATTTTTTAGAAGATCAAGAGAATGTTATCGCCTGCATAATCCACACTAGTTACAGGATTTGTATTACTGTAACTTTCTTGTTACGAGTTGCTTCCATAAACAACAGTACTGAAATAGTGATATGTATGATGCCAGTCAAAGATCATTACAATATATCAGTAGTTATATCATCTGGAACACAGTTACACATAAGAGTAATGCCAAATTTACTTTCAGACACTCCAATTACCTAATGTGTATCTAAAAGCAAACTAGTTATCTTGACCTCGCACGTGTAATATCTCCTCCCATTGCTAACTCTATACTCCTCATTTTGGATATCTTATTAACACCTGCTAAAATAGCTTATGCATTTTTCACAAAAATCAATTGAAATGCTAGCAGAGAGAGACTACACATTTTGGAAAATTAAACAAAGTTCTACAATTAAGAACCATTTTTATAATCTTCCCAATTGCTCACTTGATAGAAAATCTCATCCATTTGCCACAGTTAAAATATATAGAACTGGCCAGCAGGAAAACACTGAGCTGTGAGAAAGTAAATAATTAGCCAAATAACCAAAACAATCTAAACAACTTTAGTAAAAGCTATAGCCACCACAGATTGACATATTATTTCCAATTTTAAAAACAAATTGGTTTTACAGGACATGTTGTGTAATCCAGCATGAAGAGCAGTGCTATTTACTCTTGTAAATATTCTTTGAGATTTAAAAGATCAAAAAAATCAAGCAGAAATTTTCTTTTTAATAATTGTGGTGTTTGCACCGGCTTGTGTCCTCCTCGACTAATTCCACAAGTACTTGTTGAACTCCCACCAGCACACGTATCCAGTAACTTGGATAATCGGGACCAAATCATGCATAAACTCTTCAGAAGAGAACAAGAATGCATCAAAAGAGCATCTTTCAAAGAAAAGGAGGGAAATGGCTGTTTTTCTCACCTCCATCGAGGATAGTAGCTGAGTTGCATTTCTTCGTTAAATTAGCTGAAAGCTCACAGTACTGTCTTTCATATCCTTCGAATACCTGACTCATTCTGCCCCTTCTCAAAGTTCACAAATACCTTCAGATCAAAGAAACGACCGTAAATTTCAGTCAATTTTACTATCTCTTTTTCCCTAAATTAGATTCTCCGTTAAAAAATAAATAATACACTAAATTGTGATCCTTCGAATCGGCTGGAGCCATGATTCTTAGACAACCGAACAAATCAAACCCTAAAGATACGATAATTTCACAAATACAAGTAGATCATTTAACTAATTCACAGAGCAGATCGATACGCACCTTGAATTGATCGGAGAAAGGAGACTAATACGCCGGCCGGTCGGCGATCGGAGACTTAGTCGGAGGTTCGTTGGCACGGTCTGTTGGGAACTATCGCGAATAATAGAATGATTTATCCTATTGGAGACCCTTCAAGCACTATGTAAAACATGTCCAAAAGACTTTATTACCCTTGAAAAGTTTTTCCCTCTTTTTTCTGAAAAAATAATAATTGATCGCACGTTTCAAATTGAAATATTGCATGCACTTTACATAAATACTTTATATATAATCTTTTTTAATAACGAGAAAATTTGTAGTTGTTATCTTTTCTGGTGCGGACAAGATAAATATATATATAATATAAAAGAGAAACATAGAGTATGTAATGTGACACCTCTCTATTGCCTCTATTTATTTTTATCTTTTTTTCCTTTTTTTCTTATTTAAATTAATTACTATATAATTTGGCCGCGCTTCGCGCGATCATTAAAAATTAAATATTTTTGATTAATTTTATATATACTTTGTTGTTTAATCGTAATATTATTGTTTGTTTTAATAATGTGAAGATTGTGAAAAAAATAAAGCTTGACAAAATTAATATCTATTAAATGAGGAAGAATATTTTTTTTATCAAATAAGTTAAAATATATTTGCTAATAACAAATTCTTCCATTGCATGAAGTTGATCCTTTAATATACAATATATATTTTGGTGTTCCATTCTCCTTAAATGTCTAAGAAATTGCTAATAACAAATTCTTTCATTGCATGAAGTTGATCCTTTAATATACAATATATATTTCGGTGTTCCATTCTCCTTAAATGTCTAAGAAATATCTCATAATGTGAAATAACACTGTAATACTAAACAAATGCATCCGCAAGTGAAATTTATATTAAATAATATATTGAATAATGACGTAATAATACCTTAATAGAACTTTCTATCCATTTTTTTAAAAAAAACTTCACCCTTTCAATTTCGTTAGATCTTCTTATATCGTAGAAGAATCATCATTTATTATATTCTACTCCACCTTAATTTGTACCATCAGAATTTAAGAATAAATATTAAATTGTAAATCGAAATAAGAAATCATTGAAAAATGACAAAAAATAATAATAATAGTATAAAAATCAAAATAAGGTGCAAGAAAAACCTTTTCACGATAATTTTTTGAAATATATTGATAACAATTAAAATAGAGTTGTTATTTTATCTTTAAAATTAAGTTTGATTGAATTGAATTAGTACAATGAGAAAAAATATAAACTAATAACTTTTTAAGGTTATTAAATGCATTTTCTTTTTAATTGAGTAGTAGATTAAAAGTTCCGAATTAGGATATTAAAATAATATCTTACTCTCTCCTTAATTATTATGGTATTGCAAACATTTATTTTCCTTAAATCGTGATTCATTTACAACTATATTCAATTAATTTCTAATGTATTGAATGAGGTTATGGGATTGGGATATTGAAAGAATATCTCTATCTTCCCTTAATCATAATAAAATTGTAATTTAATCTTTATTTTTCTGAAATGATAATTTTCTTTTAATTCAAAGAACATATTGCTTACTATATTGAATGTAATTATAATAAAACATATCATATTTAGTATGACAAAAGAACCCAAAAATTTGAGATATTAGATAAATAGTAATCTTAGCTTCTAAGAAATGTACATCATTTACATATCCAACTTTATATATATATAAAAGAGTAAAAAAGAAATAAAAGAGTTAAAAAAGAAAAATAAGTGATTTAAGAAATTATATAAATAACATTAATGATGAGATGAAGATTAAGGAAAGAAGTGAAATAAATTAGTAGTATTGGTGATTATAAAAGTTAAATAAATTATTTTTTATATTTTATAAAATTTTAACATAAAATTTCCAATCTATTAAAAATAAAAATAAATAAAATCGTGAATTAGTGGAATGAGAAAAAAAATTTAAACTAATAACCTTTTAATATTATTAAATGCATTTTCTTTTTAATTGAGTAGTAGATCAAAAGTTCTGAATTAGGATATTAAAATAATATCTTACTCTCTCCTTAATTATTATGGTATTGCAAACATTTATTTTTCTTAAATGGTGATTCATTTTCCATTTACAGCTATATTCAATTAATTTCTAATGTATTGAATGTGATTATGGGATATTGAAATAGTATCTTTTATCTTTCCTTAATCATAATAAAATTATAATTTAACCTTTATTTTTTTTGAAATGATAATTTTCTTTTAATTCCTAGAACATATTGCTTACTATATTGAATGTAATTATAATAAAACATATCATATTTAGTATGATAAAAGAACCCAAAAATTTAAGAAATTAGATAAATAGTAATCTTAGCTTCTAAGAATGTACATCATTTACACATCCAACTTTATATATATAAAAGAGTAAAAAAAGAAAATAAAAGAGTTAAAAAAGAAAAATAAGTGATTTAAGAAATTATATAAATAACATTAATGATGAGATGAAGATTAAGGAAAGAAGTGAAATAAATTAGTAGTATTGGTGATTATAAAAGTTAAATAAATTATTTTTTATATTTTATAAAATTTTAACATAAAATTTCTAATCTTTTAAAATTAAAAATAAATGCTAAAATATAAATAAAAATCGAGGCAACAATTATTTGAAAGAAAAATATAACCAAAACTATCAAAAAAATTTGATAAGAATAAATAAGTATCTATTACTAAGAAGGGTGTCACTACATTTTCTATTTTAACTTTATTGTTACATTACTTTACAAGAGTGATATAGCAGATGTTTCAGTTTTGATATATAAGATTAGCATGTCATTGTTTATCATATGTAGAGGATACAAATTGTGCAACAAGCTAAGAAATGTCTACTTTATAGTTTATACTTGGATCCATATGTGACTATTTAACACGTGTTTGCTCTTTATTTCTTATTTCTCTTCATCTTCTTTCGGGTATCCCCATTTTGTATTCACAAATTTTTCTGGTGCTTCTCTCTCTTCTTCACTCTTTGCATGTATCATCTTTCTTGTGTGCTTGAAGATTTTGGGGCGTGACACTTTCAAATGAAGTTGAGACGGTCCGCAACCCTATTGTCATTTCCTCTTAAACTATATATCTTTAATTTCACTTATTTAAAGGAAAAGTTGAACAAGAAATTTTTAAAGCAAAACCTATCCCACATGCATAATGACATAAAATGTGAAAACTTCTTCATAAAATATTATGTGTGTCAAAAATACAGATAATAACTCATTAAGGAAATGAATATTACCTAAATCATTTCCAAACATCATTAGTCTCCTATTGTATGATCATCCTCTCAATTCCACAATTGTAATTATGAATATGATAAACTATGGTGTTTTGGTATCGTCTGCCAGTCTGCTAATAAATCAGAAGTTGCAATTCAAACAATACAAAAATAACGGAAGAAATTTAGATGATACTAAAAGCATAACTTCTATCTAAGAATAACTACTAAATACTAATACAACATCATCCAAAATAGAACACTATGGTTCCCTACAAATCTTAAAAGCTTGAAAAGGGTGTGAAATTGTACTTGAAGGCATGAAAATTAGAGAATCTAAAATCAATCATTTTCCAAAGCAGGTCTGTTTGTAGAAGTTGACTGTTTTTCTCGGTCACTTGCCTCACTCAGCAACACAATTGTTTAAGCGAGTGAGGATCCAAAAGTTCTAATTGGCAAGTGTATGAAACGTTTATGAATTAGAGAGGAGTCAAATAGTACTTCCAGGAGGATGAACAGCTCATTCGCGTTTCAAAATTCCTATTGACATTGATGAGAATTTCACTTGCAATATTAGTAAACAGAGTTCATTAGCGACTCTAATTCAAAATTCAAAGTTAATTGTTTGGGATGAGCCTTCATCTTTTCCCTGTTGACACGTGTATTGTTATTTAGTTTGTAAGCAAACCACGTGCACTCCTGAACACGACCACAAAAATTGTACTATGTGTTGGGATATTTTAGTCATTGAATAAAAGTTTTAATATTCCAGCCAAGTAGTATGTATGTAAAATTTCCTACCATTTATAAAAATTACAAAAATCTCCTCTTAGATACATCCCTCCCATTATGAATCATGTTCATATATAGTTATGTATCCCACAATACAAAAATGGATCCAACACAACAACATAATAGAAACAAATGTATCCAACAATAGAGGAATGTATCTGACACAACAGAATCAGTAGAGATCAATGTATTCGACAATAGAGGAATGTATGACACAACAACGGAGTAGAGACCAATGTATTCGACAGTAGAGGGAATATATCCGACGACAACTGAATCTTAAGTAATGTATCAATTGCAATGTATCGAACAATTGAGTAATGTATCTGAGAGCAATGAAAATTTCAAAATAATTGTAATTAAGAAGACTTTCGGAATAGGATGTAATTAGCACGGTATGAGATTTCTC